CTTTCCCTGGTTTGCACCCCAGTGGGTGATGGGCCTGTAGAATAAATTTGGCTTGTGTCATGAGGCCTTGTAGCTGGGTTGTAACGGGCTGTGTCTCACTCTTCCTCCAGCCTACGAAGCTGTTTCCCCTGCTATGATGCCAGGGCAGATCCCCGACCCGTCCCTGACGGCTGGCGCGCTGCCTGGGCTCGGCCCCTTGACGGGACTGCCTGGCACAGCCCTGACCGCTGAGGAGCTGAAGTACGCCGACATCCGCAACATTGGGGCCATGATCTCGCCGCTCCACTTCCTGGAGGTGAAGCTTGGGAAGAGACCTCAGCCTGTGAAAAGTGAGGTGAGTCTGGGGGGCTGCTGGCTGCAGATGGCCCAGCAGGGCCATTGCCTGCACCTGCCTGGGTTTCTGTCCTGCCTGTGCTTGGGTTTCCTGCCAGAGTGGCTAGCAACGTGTTTTATAGATGTGTCACGCTGTCTGTTTGGTGATGTGCACATATGTTGGCAGCTGCTCCACACTCTGCCTCTTCCCTGTGCCTGAATTTCTGTCTCTGTGGCATGGGCTGGGAGTAGTGTCCTTGGTGTCCCAGACCTGACTGGTTGCTGTTGGTTGCTGGCTGAACTCAAACCCTGCCTGCAGAGTGGGGTATGGTACAGCCAATGCATCCCTAGGTTGGGGCATGCCCCCGAAAGAGAAGCTGTGAGAGGGCTTGCATGATGCTCTCATCCCATCTCCAGTGCCAATGACCCCTTGGTGCTGCTGGCGCTGGTGTCGCTATTCCCGCTGGGATGCGATGTGTGGGTGAGTGGTGCTGAGTGGCAGCAGTGACTCAGTTTGTGCCACTGGGGCTGTGCCTGGCCTGCTGCTTGGGGCAGGTTTCACCTTGTGCCTCCTGGGATAGGCAAGGTGGGCGGCTTCTGCTTGGTCCCACAAGCTGGCATGTCAGCACCAGGCTGCAGGCATGTAGGAGACACTTGCACAGTGTTTTCCTGGTGTGGTTGTCTCACGTGTTGGTTGTCCAGTCTTTGACTCCTTGGCCCTTGCTCTACTGGTGGTGAGCGCTTGCACCTCCCACTGCCTGCAGATGGAGCTGGGAGCCCATTAGTTTGGAGGCCTCACATTGGTGAGGGTGCTGGCTGCTGCCAGAAGGTCCCGTAAATAACCCTTCTGAACTGTGCATTTGCTGTGCATGTGGATTCCTCAGATGATGCCATGTGAGGATGTGTCCTCTGGAGATGTCAGTGAGGAGGTGCTAGATGATGTGAAAAGCTGCCTGTGATGAGCTGTGAGCTGAAGAGGGTAAATCATTAGTTCCAGAGAGCTACCCACTTTCCAAATGATGCTGACACTTGGTTTGGCCCAACTCCTATGGCAAAAGCTCAGCCGCACCTGGACCCACCTGTGGAGAGAGGGCCTGCTCCTTCCCCCCAGCCCCTCGTGGTGGCCTCCTGTGGGAAGAGCTGTTTTGATGCAGTCCATCTGATTGCCTTGCCCAGGAGCTCTGTGCCCAAGGGAGTGTCTGATCAGCTCATGCAGCATTCCCTGAAGCTCACCTGGGGAAGGGCTCGGCAGCTCTGCAATGGAGGAGCTGAGGCGAGCATGCTGGGGGAGGCTGTGGGGATGGCCTGGGGGATGCTAATGGCTTTGGTCCTGCAGTGGGCAAAGCAGCTGTGGGCTGGCAGCTGAAGCCTAATGGTGTCCCCAGCTTTTGGCCTGGATATCATACAGCAAGTGGGGTGCAATGCCCACCTCACTTCATGGGTTGGGGAAGAAAGAGGGAATCTGTAGCTGTGCTGGCTTCCCGGGTGCAGCTCCTTTCCTGGGGCCTCTCAGGCACCTCTGAGCTGGCCCTACAACAGCTGCTTTTGCTCAGTGGGAGTGGGGATGTGGTCTCACCGGGCTCTGTGTAACAGGGATGGGGCAGCTCGGCCCAGCAGCAGGTACTGGAAGTGTTGCCTGAGCCAGCTGTTGAGACACATGTGGAGGAAGGATAAGGGGAAATCCACAGGCAGCCCCCACATGGCTGCTTTTGCTGCAGCCGGTTCCTCCCCTGCATGGCCTGTGAAGCCAAGGAGTTGAGGACAGCAAATGGAGCTGCCCCTGGCACAGGCTTTGCAGCAAAAGCCTGGGGGAGGTGAAGCAGTAGCTGCTTATCCCATGAGTAGCCAAGAAGCTGCCCACGCGTCGTTTTGCAACACAGCCTGCAGCTGCTTTCCTCTTACAGGGAGCCGGAGCCCGGGGACGCCGGGTACTGGCGTGTCATGCTCTGCAGTGCCTGGGAGGAAGGGCTGCTCCCCTGGAGCTGGGCACAGGCAGCTTTCTCTGCTGTGCTGGGGGTCCAGCATCTCCCAGCACCGGGGTGTTTGTCCCTGGGAGTGCACAAAACCCACTCGGTGGGTGCTGGGTGCTGGCTTCCCTGAAGGGTGGTGGACAGCCCCCCTGGGCAGGCTGCTGTCCTCTTGGGGCAGCTGGAGGCAGGGGCTGCTGGACTCTTCCACCATCCAAACCTGCCTGGGGTGCTCCCTCTGGGACAGCCCTGCCCCTCAGGCTGGTGAGCACCCAGATCTGTCCCTGATGCTGCTGCTGAAGCAATTCAGGAGGCAGCCCCAGACCTTCTACCCACAAGGGTCCCCTGGAGATCAGCTACTGAAATGTGCTGTGTGGTGATACACCATCACTGTCCCTTGTGTCTTCGCGTAGAGTTCTAACCCCCAGCACCAGGGCCATGGCACCTTTCTGAACTGAAATCAAGGAGGAACGAGAGGGGAAAACCTGCTTTCGTGAGGTTACATGATCTGTGGTCAAAAAGCAGAGCCAAGAGTTCAAGCTGCTGCTATCTCTGCTGT